GAGGTCGCGACGACGTCCTTTCCTGCCCGCCTGGTGGTCCCGGGCTCGAGGCGGCTCCTGCAAACACGCAGGGAGTGTTTTTGTGCGGAGTTTGCGGGTGTTTGAGGCGCTCTCTGTGCTTGCTGAGCTGGGAGCTCGGAAACTGTATGGAAGCATGAGGTGAGAGAAAGAGGAGCAGCACATCTCTCTATGAAAGTGGTCTGATAGGTAGATCTGTGGAATGGAGGCATTTGCAGGGAGAAGAGAGTGTGACTCAGTGTGTGTCAGTGGGAAATGAAAAATCCGGTGGCAGCAGGGCATAATCGGGGCTGCAGAGCCAGAGCTTGGAGGGTGGCCGTCTCGCCTGCCTGCGGTGTGCTGTCCCAGCTCCCCGGCAAGCGTGGACTTCTCTGACCATTTAGGTTCTTGTTCAGCCAGGGAGTCTGGAAAGCCTGAAACTTCACTAGTGTGATTTTTCACTTAAAATTTCTCTACGCGCTTTTGTCCTCATTTCATTTGTTTTAGTGACTTCAAGTACCACGGTTCTCCTCTGGTAAACAGTGGCCATTCTTTGCAAGATCTGAAGTGGCAGATGATCACGGTGTCACAGCCATCAGATGCGTGTCCACTCTGGATACATTTTGTGTATTCTAATTGCTGATCCTTCTTAGTATGTAGAACTTGCTCCAGTTCTTCTTGCCATGGACACATACTTGCTCATCAAGTTTTTGTAGATGCACTTTATCCGATTTGGAAAATACTTACATAGACTTTTTTGGGGAATATAAAGCCTTCTACCAGGAAGAGAACTCTTCTGAGTTTACCTTTACCTTCTGGTAAACTCAGAAGTTACCTGAAGTGAGTAAAACATGAAACTACTTTTAGATAACTATTTAGAGAGCTGCCTAGACTGGGATATATCTGGACCATGTCAAACAGTCTGTTCCCAGTACCATTAGGATATGTTTGATGCACACAGTACATATTCCCTTCCACTGCTTAAGTTGAAGAATGTTTGCTTGTAAGGTTTCTGTGCAGAACTGTGGACAGAACACTCCATGTGTGACCATGTCCCTCACAGCAGGCTGCATGACAGCAAGTGGAGGATATATCCCAGTGTGAATGTTTGGTCACAAAGGGGGACAGAGATGCCTGAGCACAAGCAGCTGGGGCAGGGGAGGAAGGAAGAATATATAATGCCTCTGAATGAAGGTGTAGCAAGGGAGAATGGATCTAGAAAGCACTGCCAGGTTCTTTCTGCTAAAGAACCTGAAAACAATGCAAATCTGCATTTCAGCAACAACCTGTAATTTGTATGGCACGTACAAAATCTGCAGAGTTCTTAATCTGTGCAAACTACATCAGGATCTTCTTCTTGACCCTTAATCCCACAGAACTGAAATGGGATCAGCTGTGTCAGGTTTTACTTGAAGCTAGCAGAATTCTGAAATTACTATTGCTTTTGTAAGGCAGTTTGTCATATGGTGTGTTTTTAATACCTATCCTTTTTCTTAAAATGCATGTCTTAATAAGTTTATTGTAAAGTGCAGTCGAAATACTGACTGTGCCACCATCATTTGATAAGAGGAAAGAAACTTTTTGAATTGCTTTATGTAAAATGACTCCAACTGTCAGAAATTAGAGTGGGTTAACAATTGTTTTTGCACATAGTACTGCACTACTTTTCACAGACTGTTTTTGCTTTGCTGTGTGATGTCTAAGTTTCTCTTAATTCAAACACCTGACATTTCTGCATTCAGACACTGACATTTGTTCATTCAAACTTCAGCCATACCACATCTTTTGAGTGAATCAGAAATGAGAGGTGAGTGAATAGATTGCCTAACATTAAAGGGCTGAATTTGGTGAGTTTTCTATTACAAGGACAAAGAGATGGAAATGCCTTTGGCAGTTGTTAGTTTTGGTGAACAAATGTTGTATCGTCAGTGCAATAAGTTATAATTTCTAGTTTCTGTATTTATAGCATGCATTTAATTTTCCTATCAGAAATGTATTGTCAATCTCTTTTTCTTTTCTCTGTTTTCTTTCCATTTAGCAATACTGGGTTACAATGTCTTTGGTTTTCTTCCCAGCTGAGTCTTTCCTTTGAGCTGTTATTTCAGCCTTCTCTAACAAACCTTGTCTCTTGTCACCTTATTCTGCCTATGTCTTGCTGATCCAGAGAAGCAGTTCTAGTTGATATGCCATGAGCAAGTGTCATGGAAATACTTGAAAAAGCAATTCTTTTGTTTCTTCTTGTTTCTAACCAGGCAGATAGAAGATGAAATAGTCAGACACTTGAGCATATCATGCTTGTACATGCATAGAGCATAACTCAAAATCCAGAGCTATGTGAATGGATTTAAGCAGGATGGAGCCAAAGAAGTGGGAGGGAGGCAGGGATTACATGCTGCCAGCTGCAAAATTTTCATTCTTTGTCATATCACACCGTAAAGGTTGTACAACTGACCACTCTCTCCATCCACACAGTGGCTGTGGCCCATCCTGATAAAATTACCAAGGGGATTCAATCTGCCACACTTAACAATGGAACAACAG